GGGTTTTGTTGTGATGTTTGGCTTGTGGCCTAGAGATCGACTCGAAAAAACGCAAAGAATTAAGTGTTCGGTCCACTTCATCCCAAATTTATTATCTGATCATCACAGAAAATTTTAGACGTTGACCTTGACCAAAACTGGGACCTCCTGGGACGTTGTCCTTGACCAAAACTGGCAACTCCGCACCACTTCCGGTAGCTCTTTCACTAATTGTCAAAATTTGAGTGAACTATTTCATCTATCATCATATAAATATAGCTGTTAAACTTAGATTATGTTCGATGTTGGGAAATATCGGCACACTTCTTCTGATATCTCTCCCACAATATGGTCAGAGCAAACAGAGCCACCAATTGATACCAAATTTTGCATAACCTAATAATTTATCAAAACATTTATAATGTTTGAAGATGGGGCGTATTGGTCCACTCCTTCCGTTAGCTCTCACATAAAGTGACAAATCTTTTAAATCTCGTATGAAGCGAACGGAATATTCATTTTAGTTTAAATTTGCCACATATTAATACATTTACCAGACCTAGATCAAATCTAAAGGGTCAAAATGTGTAAATGCCGTATGAAGCGAACTGAGTATCCCATTTCATTAAAAATTGGCAAGTCATAATAATTTTACCAAACCTAAATCAAGTTTGAAGATGGGGTCCATCGGTCCTCTCCTTTCAGTACATCCATGCAAAGTGTCAACAATTTTGAAATCCAATATCCTGCGATTACATTCAAACCCTATACATCGCAATATTTTTTTCCAAACCTGGATTTTGTCTGCATATAGAGGTAAATCGGTTTACCCCTCTCCCACAAAGCGTCAATATTTTGAAAAATTGTATGTCTAATATTTAGATACCCATTTCATTCAAACATGACACTTTGTTTGAATGAAAGCCAAGACCGGAGGTGGTATCCAACTATCTACTTGTAGTTCCTCCCCCACAAAGGGTCAACATTTTCAAAATATCTCATATAAAGATTACGATCCGTTAAATATACTTCGTACATTTATTTTTTTTGCCGAAGCCTCAACAAGAACGAAGGTGGGACCCTTAAGCCACTCCTTAGAGACCTGTCTGAACTTAACAAAACGTACTGACTATAGACTATATAGCAACTATCATGTATATAGGAACATCATGTCTTATACCTTCCTCACAAAAACCAGGATTATTGTATACTATTATATTATTGTATACCTATTGGCAACATGGACTGACACTTTTAACGCCATACACAACTGTAAGGGTATATAGCTTCAGGCAGCCCTAAGGAGTTTGTAACGCTGTGAAATATTGGTCCCAGATCCACCCTTTAGTATATCGATTGTCATATCTCGACTTGCTGAAGGCATTTGGACACGTGTGGCTGACAATCCGCCTGTCGATTATACTTTGTCACGGAGATTTGCATGTATGACCGGTTCGGACCAAAGAAGGTCCTTTTTGTTGATAATGATCATTTAATAGGGGTGAAATGGACCACAAATTTTATTTTTGCCTGTTTTTTCTGATCACTGAAATTCTGCACGGAGAGAGGAATGAGCATAAACATAACAAAAATTATATTCTATGGCGTATATATTTACTCCTGGAGGACATAGACCCGAGAAGTTGATAGTATATCCAAGAGGAGTGGTTGACCTTTGTATGTACTCGGATGTGGGAGTTATACATAAATATTTAAAGGTCTCTATGTGTTATGATATTTTTAGTATTACAATTACCCCACCAGAGATCGGATATGCAGCACTGATCGCTTTTAAATTTTACATGAAGTTTCGGTAATGGTCAAGGACGACGCCTATAATGATGACGTTGAGATGACATTTAGGGGGTTCAATGAATGTAATATATTTATACGGAATGTAGATCCAGGGAAAGTTAGCGATCCGTTGTAGTTGTGTAGGATATCATGGGTTCGGCGCGGTTCGACTATACTGCTATATGTTTTTAGGGTATTATAGGTTTGAGTGACTTGAAGAGTTTGAAACACCACGAAAAATTGGTCTCAGATCCACATGCTGATTATTTTTCACCAAATTATAGATCGCAGTTGTGGGCCAATCTTTAAGAAATTTTGCTTAATTATCAGATCTAGAGCGACCTAGAGGTCGCAATCATGACCCGAACACAAAGAAATTTTATACGGGGGTTATGACCTGATCAACAAATAACTATGACTGTTTCGACGAAAAGCGACCAATATTGAGCGGTTTAAATGGACCAAGATTTTTGTGTGAAAAATTAATAATATATGGTCTATTTATGTACTCCGAAAATACTATATCCAAGAGAAGATCAATATCAGGGGGTCTAAATATCCAAATATTGACCGTTATCAAATTTTGCAATTTCAGAATTAAGTTCAATGTACCAAAATCTTGATATAGAGCACATTTCTATGGCTTTCAACATACAAGAGAAGATATTTTACACTTTAAATTTTAAATATCTTAGTTTGTGAGTTCGGATATCCTACAATATTCAAAGGGTTCTATATATTCTAATATTGTTCCGTATTGTTATAGACCCATATATGGAACAACTGTCGCGAAATCTTGCACAGAATCGAGCTCTGCGTCCTTTTGCTAATATAAGTCCAGTGGTAGTTTTATATGGTATCATATGGTCGACCACTTTCGATTGTACTCCCCCCGTTCACAGGCATTTTTTTATATATTCAACACCACACAAAAATAAAATTCAAAATTCGAATTGAGTATCCTCCATTCGTATGACCCCGCAACTGACTAGTTCTTCACTATATTTCATTTCGTCACACCTTTCAGCCAGTGTGTTCATGACACCCTTTTGCTCTTTTCCCATGTTTTTTAATCCAAGTAAAAAAGTGCGCCTAATCAACTATTGAGCATAAGCATGAAGACTAAACATGTAAATCCAAACATAAAGCCCCTTTGCGAGGACTAAGGACATTGCTTGACATCTATTCCAAACAATTTTCTGCTAAGCTATCAAAAAAGTTGGCTAAGATCTAATAGGGATTTATAAACTTGGCGATATGTGTGTGTTATATCCTTGCATATATACGACAAGTGTGCACACACACACGTCCACAATGAGCATCCCCGCTATATTGTACCTGCATTAATATATACGATATATTAATCTTTTACAAGGCGGCGATCAATCCAATGACTATAAAAACCGCTGTTTATGTATGTGTGTGAGCGAGAAGGGAAATGGTTGCATACACCAGCATCATCGTACAAGTGCAACCAAGGAAAGGAGTCATAAAATGTTGTGCCATGCCAATAGAACAGGTACATTTGATGGCAATGGTGGTGGTGGGTCTTTTATGAGCCCATCATAAATGGTTAAGCGCTTAGGCAGCAGCAGCACAGGGATGGCGATGCTGTGAGTACTTCATCGTCGTCTTCTCCTTCTGCTCAGTGATTGAAAAATGTCATGGGTTTTCCAAAATTTCTAACGAATGAACATTTGAGCTTAAGAGAAATTCCGGACGGGGGTAATAAAGAGAGGGAGAGAGATCGAGAGATGAAAGAGCATGGGTGAGAGCAGGTCAGAAAATTACAATGCTGAGAGTGGGAGAGAGCGCGAGAGTAACGCACTTGACTCAATTGAGTGGAAACTGTGTTGTGGTGGCTATGCGCGGCATACGACGACAAACCAGATAACACCAGACTAGTGGCTCGTGTCTATCTCATGAATCATTTACCTGCCTACCATCAAACCCGACACAACACATTTCTCTCGGTCGGTCAATCGATCGGTCGGTTTGTCTGTCTGCCTACCACTGATCTTAGCACTCTCTTAGGCTCAAATTAACTCTCCCGCTCGCTCTTGAGTGATTGAGTCTCCGATGTACGTATCTGCTGGATGGCTGGCTGGCCACTTAGGCTAGCTGGCTGAAAACTTAAGTTTAGTCGTAGATATTTTCGAAATGTAGTTTTAGTTCTTGTGTGTTAACCCTTTAACTAACAACGATTCTGTGTTCATGTTTTTGTATCGTTTTAGAGTTGCAAGCGACCATGCGCGCATGGCTTCTACTCCTCGCAGTGCTGGCGACTTTTCAAACGATCGTTCAAGTTGCTAGCACCGAGGATAATCAAATATCAATATCGTCGAGATTTATTGAAGCAATACAACCGATTAATAAGGATATAACAAAAATTACAACACCAACAATAACACCGTCGCAACGGCATAATAATAAACAAAAAACGGCAATTCCGACGACGGCTGTTGGAAAAAAATCATCAGCGGTCCAAACGGCCTTAATGGATTTTCACAATAATCAACAGCAACAACAAAGTATTGTTTATAAACCACATATAACAAAAAGTGTTACAAGTGATAAATTAAGTGAAAATTACCAAACAGAAAAAGAAAATCTGAATAACAACAACAACAAAAACCTTATTATTGAAATCAAAAATATTGAAGAAATCGAAACAAACGATTTAAACGAAATCCAAGATATACAAGTGCATGAAAATCACAAAAACAAAAGCAACAACAACAGCAAAAAACACAAACATAGAGAAAATTTAACGGAAAGTAAAGAAGAAGTGTTAAAATCGGAAATCGAAGTGGAAGCTGACGAATTAAGTTCATTAAAAAAACAACAACATAATAAAAAAGTTCATAATAAAAATCAAAAACAAAATAACAATAACAACATGGCTTTAAGTGTTAATAATGAAGACAACAATAAACAACAACAATTAAACCAAAAACACAATGAGGATGATCGCATTACAATACAACAACAGCAACCAGAACAAAGTTCCTCCTCCAAACAACAACATAAAAATCATCATCAACACCATCATCAACAACAAACAGAACCTGCCTCACAACAAAAACAACATCATCACCACCATCATAAACACCACCATAAAAAACACGAGTCCCAGGATTCGGAAGCGACGTCTCCATCCACATCCCCATCAGCTAGTGATAATTTATCCACCTCCTCCACCTCCGCCTCACAAACATCGTCATCATCATCAACCTCGACGCCACCACCAACACCCATGGATGTTGATGTCCTGGCCGAAGACGATGAACCCCAAGTGGATGCTGTCATACCCGAAGATGGTCCACGTACCTATAGTAATAACGATGTGATCGGCGACAAATTGAAGCCGGATCCCTCAACTCTAGTCGAAATTGAAAATAGTTTATTATCACTGTTCAATATGAAACGGCCGCCAAAAATCGATCGTTCCAAAATTGTCATACCGGAGGCCATGAAACAATTGTATGCCCAAATAATGGGTCATGAATTGAATTCTGTAAATATACCAAAACCTGGTTTGCTGACCAAGTCGGCAAATACTGTACGAAGTTTTACGCATCAAGGTAAGTCAATTTTTCATATTTTTTTATTTGTTTTTATTTTTTACATTTCTTTTAGATATTATTTTGATATAAAAATTATTGGGTGATTTTGAGTGGGGGAAGGAATTGGGGAAAGTTTTTAATTTTTTATTTGCATTTTTAATCGCGTTAGGAATTTTTTTTAATTAGAAAAGAATGAGACCGATTTTTAAAATAGTAGTTTATGAAGTTAGAATTTATTGTTTTGGAATTTAAATTTCTTTTGCAATTAGCCTATTTTTGTTATGGAATTTTCAAATTAATACCAGATATAATTTTAATATTGTTTTTTAAGCCTCGGGTTTTTGAAATTATATTTTTCATCTGGTCATCTTTCATCTTTGAAAAAATTATAAGAAACAAATTATTTTTTTTAAATATTAAAAATATATATTTTTTAAATAATATATATTAAAAATTCAAAGAAATAATTTTTTTCTAATTTTTTTTTTTTTAAATGTTAAGAAATATATTTTTTCAAACTTAGTAAAAAAATATTTTCTTTCAAAAATATAAAAAACAGATATTGGCAGTTGTTCGATTCTACTAAGACACAATTTTTCTATTTCAACTTCCTATAGCCAAATTTATTTTTTTTTTTTAATTGTAAATTTGCCTTCAATTTCCTAATTTATTTTGAGTCTGGTGACAGTCTCAAATGAATCTTGTCTCCGTCTCAAATCATGTATAAAAATAAAATATTTTTTTTTTGAGCGGTACGACGGATGATAGCTGTGTCCAATCAAATTTTTTTTATTAATTACATTTAACGTTTTCACCCTACAACAACAACAACAAAAGGCAATATTATAATTTTCTTAAATTCAATTCTTTTGATTTCTTGTGATATTTCGTAAATATGTGAAATTAATTAAACAATTCAAAGATGGCGCCCAACGTGCATATTCTAATATTTAGTTTTTCATTGCAAAAATTATCAATATCACACATAGAGATGGAATTGCTACTTTATTTCATATAATACTTCGTAAATATGTGAAATTAATCATATAATTCAAAGATGGCGCCCAACGTGCTAATTTTAATATTATTTTTTCCTAAAAATCGTTAATATTATATTTAAAGATATGGTATGGATGATGAGGTACCAATATTTCATATATTATTGCGTAAATATATGAAATCGACCATACAATTCAAAAATGGCGCCCAACGTGCAATTTTAAATATTTAGCTTTTCCTTGCAAAAATTATCAATATGACCCTTAGAGATGTGGAATTGTTACTTTATTTTAAATAATATATCGTATATATGTGAAATTCAGTATTGAGATGAAAAATGGCGCCCAACGTGCAAATTTTAATATTTAGCTTTTCCCTGCAAAAACATCCCTATAATAAATATGAAATATATATGATATTGATATCTCATTCCGTGTAATATTTCGTAAATATAGGAAATTAATCACATAATTTTAAAAAAATGGCGCCCAACGTTTATTGCTATTAAAATATTATTTTTTCCCTACAACCACAAGAACAAAAATTTAAAAACAAATCTAATTTATATTATTTCTTCAAATTATATTTTTTTCTTTAAATTACATTTGCATTTCATATAATCATAGTGTTCCAATATGGCGCCCAACATGCATAATTTTAATATTTTACTTTTCCCTGAACAAAATTTTTTTTATAATATATGGTATCTTAAAAATTAGTGAATATAGTGAAAAGTGTTTGAAAATTGGGCAAACATCGAAAATGTATGATTTTTTTAAGAATCTTCTTTTGAAAATATTTATTTAAAATCATTAGGTAATTTCATTCAATAACAATAACAAAACAAAATCATAACACGCCCCAACAAATTTCACTACTTTTCAATTTTTTTTATTACAATTTTTTGTGTGATCAAAACAAAACAACAAAAACTCAATTTCAATTTCTTAAAAATTACATTTTCATTTCCACATAAAATTTCATAATATTTATAATGACGATTGGAATTTGTTTTTGTTAACTTAGTAACCGCTTTTTCTTATTTCGTAAAACGAAAGAAAAAAATTCCCACAAAATATATGTAAGTATGTGGTTTCGTTTGGTGTGTGTTTGTTCTCTTCTGCATTAGGCATACATATGTATCTCTCAATTAATGAGTTGTACGTGATGTTAATTTTTAATTAATTAATGACCAGCCATATTGGCTCCCAACAACGGCAAATACATTTGTGTTTTTTTTTTAATTTTTGTATATTAATGTGTGTGTATTTTATTAAATACGCGTTCCTGACCATTACCACCACACACAGGCATGTATTTAAATTAATTCATAACTTTTTTCTATGCTAAATACACACATATATATTTTTTTAAACATATAAAAATATGTTTTTTTGTAAATGGGTTAGTGACATAATTAAGAAGAAGAAAATAAAATAAATATACTGCTATATAGGAATGAAAAATTAAATACATTTATCAAGAGGGCATCGAAATGGTTCAATTATGTTTTACGACCTTTTTCTAGTAATGAATGAATTTTTATTTTTTTTCATTTTATCTTCAAAATGTTAAATAGAATTAGAAAAATTACAATTAATGTATGTGAGATTAGCTGCAACTAGCTTATCGAAATTAGTGACATATTTAAATACATGCCATTTAGGTTAACAAAAAAAATAATAGGGTTTTTATTTTTCAAATTATTTCTGAATTCCCGTCGGCATTTAAAAAAATGTTATTTTTTAATAGCTTTTTGAACAATTTTTTAAAAGGTAAAATAAATTTTCCTTTTAGTTGTATAAAAGAAGATATTTCACAAGGAAAGTCAAAATATTAAAATTTGCACGAAAAGCAAAATATTAAAATTTGCACGTTCGGCGCCATTTTCTCTATGATAAATCATAGATCATATTATTATTTACAATATGGAAAATCTAAATATTTTTTTTATTAAAACAAATATTTTGCGTATAAAACCTAAATGGCGTCCAACGTATGAATTTGTTTTTTGTTGTGTATTTTGAAAATCTACTTACTAAGAACATCCGAAAACAAAAAAATATTTATTATAAGTATTTGCAAATTAATAAATTAAAACAATTTCTCAGCCATTCTTTGCAATTATTTCCAAATTTGAAACCTTTTTTTCTGCAATACCTAAATGGCGCCCAACATTAAAAAATAAAATAATAAAGGAAATGTTTATTTTTCTTCTTGAATTGAAATTTTTCAAAAATAAAAAAATATTCAAATATATAGGTTATCAGATTTTAATATACAAATGGCGCCCTACTAAATAGAAATGGTACACATTTGTCTATTAATCCCTACATTAATATATTTGTACTTTATTATAGTAGCTGATGTAAATATTCAAATAATATTTAATTTGGTATACTTTATTTAACTCACATATGGTGCCCAACATAAAATTGTTTTCGAAATATTTGCATTTACTATTTATATAATTTTCGGTATGTGTTGCAGTAGGGAATGTTAATATTCAAAGATTTTATAATTTTGCATAATTTTCGAAATACAAGCAAATGGCGCCCAACGTAAAAAATCGTACATTTATTAGCTTTCAAATTATTTCTATTTAGTTTATATATATATATCTTGTTAGTAATACACTAAAAATTCGAAGTAAATTTAAATTTGCATATTTATCTAATATTCAGCAAATGGCGCCCAACGCAAAAATCATGCAAACATTTGTTTTGAAAATAATTCCAAATACATCTTCGAAATATATTCAATTTTACATAATATTCTAAAATTTTACCATTGTATCAAATGGCGTCCAACGTAAAAAAATTATACATATATTTGTTTTGAAAATATTTCTTTTTAGATCTTCGAAATATATTAAATTTTACATAATATTCAAACATTTAGCAAATGGCGCCCAACGTGAAAAATTCATATATTTTTTGGTTTTGGAAATCTTTAGAATTAATAATATATATATTTAATATAAATATTTTTGGTATAGTAGCTGATGATAACAAATATTTGATGCTAATAAGTGAAATTATAATATAACCAAATTTTCAGTTGATTGATTATTTCAATTCCCTTAGTGATTTTGAGATTTATATAAATGGCGCCCAATATAAAATTCCAATTTTTGGAAGTGGAAATGTATTTTTTGTTTTGATGTATGGAAATGGTGATCGACTTGAAATTAAAAAAAAAAACATATATAGCCCTAAATTTTTACAAGTGAAGTTGGTTTAATCAAATGCAAATTTTATAATATTTTAATTTTATGTTGGGCGCCATTGATCATTGTTCCTTTTTTTTGAATTAGATAGTATTCATTTCCCCTTTAAAAGAATGTGCCATAATTTGTGAAAGAGAATATGGCGCCCAACGTGAAATATATATATATATTTTAAAGTTTGGCATTGATTTTTAATACCAAATATTTATTTATTAACTAAAGTTTTTTTTAAGAAATTATAATTTCTTAATTGAATTTTGCGCCTAACTTAGAAACTTACTCATGTTTTTACACATCTTTATAAATGATTGATATTTTTAAATGGCGCCCAACGTGACTAATATTTATTTTTATATTCAAATATATATTTTTTAAATATATTAATTTTATTATTTTCAAATTTACTAAATTAATATTTTTAAATTCCAAAATTCCCACTTTTTTGTTCAATGCACTTGTTCTCTGTAGCATAGTTCATTAAGGATATTTGCAAAATTTCCCACTATTTCATCACATATGCAAAAATTTTCACATACTACCACACACACACACATATGCAAAAAAATAAAACTCATTAACAACACTATTATGGGATTTCCAATATTTTTCACAATTGAAATACACATACAACAATAACAACAACACTTCAAGTATGATGATCATAAAAGTAGTAGTCGTATCATCGTCGTTAAGGACCAGCACTTCACTACAATTCGGGGGATTTTGTTTTATAACAGGTCCGTACGCTCGCTCGTCGGCTACCTAAAGGCGAAATGTTATCCCTGCAATGACCTTGAAAACTTTGAAAATTTACAACAGCATATTTATATTGGTTTTACATAATTCCAAGGAATTGGTTTGTGATGTATGTATGACAATAACAAAAAACACATACATTTACATATGTGTCAAGGAACACACACACACACACACGTGATGATGTGTTGGAAAATATGAAATTATGAAATGATATGTGAAAAATTAATGTTTTTATTTCAAAATGCACAGAATCACTTGGAAATCACTTTTTGGACAATTTTGTTGTTTCTTTGTACCTGTACAAATAAATCTCTTCACATTTTTTTTGTTTTGGCTTAGATCAGTAGTTGCTATTCTGGTTGCTTTGAAAAGGTGTGGAAATGTAAACAAATTTTCCAAGTTAGAATTTTCGAAAAAGAAATTTTATGATCTCTCATAAATTGTTTAACATGATATAGTGTGGTGGAAGTGAGATTTAAAACGTTGGGCGCCACTTGAAAGGAACTTGTTTTGGGAAGTCTGGAAAAATAAAGCAAAATACCAAAAAGGTGTTGAATTAAAATTGAAAGGTGTGTAACACAGCGAAAGGTTTAGGAGGAGGAAGAAAAAAAATAAGAAGCAGCCAACATCAGCCGATAACCCTAAGCGGCTTAGCCTTAGTGGCGCTATCTTTGAAACAAAGAAGACGAAAAAGAAGAAACAGAAGGAAAATTAAACCCGGCTAATCAATCCTACTTAAAATCACCCACCTTAATCTTTATATCTTTTTAAACCCCTTATAGCATCTTGAGCTCTACTCTTGACTAATAATTTTGTTTTCTCTCTCTTTCTCTCCCATCTCTCTCTCTTTGCAGATAGTAAAATCGACGATCGGTTTCCTCACCATCATCGGTTTCGTTTACATTTCGACGTACGCAGCATACCCTCGGAGGAGAAGCTGAAGGCGGCCGAATTGCAGCTGACACGTGACGCCATCAGCCATGCCACACTAAATCCCCGCCTGGCCAATCGCACCCGCTATCAAGTGTTGGTCTATGACATAACACGGGTGGGTGTACGCGGCAAGCGGGAACCCAGCTATTTGCTGTTGGACAACAAGACAATACGTCTGAATAGCACCGATACCGTGAGTCTGGATGTGCAACCTGCTGTTGATCGGTGGCTGGCTTCACCGAAAAAGAATTTCGGTCTACTGGTGGAGGTGCGAACATCACGCTCTCTGAAACCGGCACCGCATCATCATGTACGATTGCGCCGCAGTGCGGACGAGGAACATGATGCGTGGCAGCGCAAACAACCCCTGCTCTTTACGTACACGGACGATGGACGGCATAAATCGCGTTCCATACGCGATGTTAGCAATCGGTCGAAACGGGCCGGTCACAGTCGTCGGCCGCATCGCCGAAAGAACAACGAGGAAATATGTCGGCGTCACTCTCTCTATGTGGATTTCACCGATGTGGGTTGGAGCGATTGGATTGTGGCCCCGCCCGGCTATGATGCCTTCTACTGCCATGGCAAGTGTCCATTTCCGCTAGCGGATCATTTGAATTCAACGAATCATGCAGTGGTCCAGAGTATGGTGAACAGCATCAATCCAGGCAAAGTACCAAAGGCTTGCTGTGTCCCAACACAGTTGGAGGGCATATCGATGCTCTATCTAAATGACCAAAGTACAGTTGTGCTCAAGAACTATCAGGATATGACAGTGGTGGGTTGTGGGTGTCGGTAAGAAGCAGAGGCGGCAACTGGAAACAACATTTTCTGAGGAGAGAAAAAAAGGGAATCAAGGAATTGAATTTCCAGAGAGGTGGAAAGGGAGGGAAGGTGTTAGCAGTGGAAGCCTATCCCCTGCCTCCTCTTTGTTCCGATTTTTTAATTTCTATTTTTTTCTCTCTTTGTTTGGCAACATATCGTGATATCTACTTGCAGCCAGCCAGGCAGCCAGCCATCTAGCTGATTGGAAAAGCTGCACACAACAAAATAAACTGGAAAAAAGAAGCAAACAACAACAAAAACAACAATAGAGCATCATATGCTAGAATTGTAAAGAGAGAAAAAAAGGAATTTCAAGAAGGAAGGCTTCAAGGCTTTTGTAGTCTCCCTCTCTCTTCCTCTTTCGCTTGGGAATTTCTTTTTGCGAGAGAGTGGGAAAGGGAGTATTTCTTGTTCGTTGCTTTTTTTCGTATGCTTTAATAAGTTTAAAGATTTTGTTTTTGATTTTTTTCGCTTTGGAAAAAATATTTTTTTTATATAAACAAAACAAACGCAATCTAAATGGACTGAATTATTGAATTTTATTTCTTAAATAAGTGTAAATATTAAATATTTAAGGAATTTGATAGGGTTGAGAGGAGCGGAGAAATAACGGTGATAATGTGAGGTGTATAAATGCAAAATAACAATCCCCTCCAGGTCATAAGTAGTCACTAATGAGGAACTAACATTAACACAAGCCAACAAAAACGAACAATTTTATTTTTGTCACTCAAATTTAAAAAAAAAATAATTCTTAAAAAAATTTTGTAACAATTTGACAGCTAGGCTGTCCCTGTTTTTCTATGTCTATGTAAATTTTTAAGCTTCAATAACCATAATAGAAATTCTCACTGTGCCATCCATTCAAAAAAATCATGAAAACATATTTCAAAATTCCATTTCATATTTCTACCCTAAAATAGCATTTCCACTTTCCTAAAAATATACTCGAAACAAATCGTGAAATAAATAATTGTGTATAAAAAAAAATAACCTAAAAACTATAAACGAAACCATGTAAATTTTATAAAAAAGAGATTATTCCATAACTAAACTTAAAAAATAGATATTCAAATAATTAAAAAACTACATTTAAATAATTTAAAAAAATTAAATTGTATTTTTGTTAAAATAAAAAAAAAATGAAATAAGTTTTAACTTAGCGAATATTATTATCCTTACATTTAAGGATTATTATTATTACTACCTTTAATTAATATTATTATTTTTTAATTATTAATTAATATTATGAAATAATTAATGTAATGTATTTTATATAGCCCCCTCCCCCCAAATGTATTGTAATTTGTATGTGTATCTCTCCATCTTAATTTAAAATATAATAATAATAATTAAAAACCAACCATGAACAAAGAAAACAAAAAAACTTAATGTTAAAAAAAAATTAAAACAACAACAACAATCGATTTTAAGCTTAATTAATAACGAACAAAAACAATTTTATTATAGTCACATTTCTTTTCATAAAACTATTTCCTTTTTCTTCAAGTTTTTCCCACAACAACAAATTGTAAATTACTCCTCTAACTATTTTCTCTATTGCAACAAAAAAAGTATATTTTTTTATAATCTCTAATTTTTTAATGTGTGTTTTTTTCTTCTTCTCCCTATTTTGTGTATAATTTTCTATACATTTAAAATTTTTTAATAATTCTCGTTCATCTTCACCAAAACATCAAAAAATATACTTTTTTTACATAAGTGCCTATCTATATATTTTATTATTACAACAACAACTACTACAACTATAATTCGATGTATAATTTTTTTCTATTATTATTTATTTATAAAAATTATTTTTTTTATAATTTTAATTGTAAAACGATGTGCGAAGTTTAATTTTTAATGAATTGAAATGATGATGAGATGAAAGAAAACAACAAAATGAAAAACCTTAAATTTTGAAAAACAAAACAAAAAACAATAAAAAAGAAAAAAATATTTTATATAAAAAAAATAAAATTCTTTGTGCGTTTTTGTATTTTAGAAGGTTAAAATTGGGGAATTTCAATAAAAACTAAAAAAAAAATGTTCACGCCTATCGGTAGTCCATGAAAAAATAATTGAAAAAAAATCCGCACCTATGGTAGCCCCTTTAAAAAATATCCATTCCTATGGATAGGCCAATTATTTTAAAAAATATCCACGCCCATGGTTAGGCTATGAAAAAATAATAAAAAATAATTTAAAAAAATTCATGCCTTTGGTTAGGCCATAAATCCACGCCTATTAAAAGACCATGAAAAAATAATTTAAAACAAAATCCGCGCCTATGGATAGGCCACGAAAAAATAGTCTAAAAAATCCACGTCTATGGATAGGCTACGAAAAAAAATTAAAAAAAAATCCACGCCTATGGATAGGCTACGAAAAAAATAGTTTAAAAAAAAATAGTTTAAAAAATCCACGTCTACGAAAAAAAATAGTTTAAAAAATCCACGCCTAGGGATAGAGCCTGAAAAAAATAGTTTAAAAAATCCACGCTTAGGGATAGATCCTAAAAAAATAGTTTAAAAAATCCACGTCTACGAAAAAAAATAGTTTAAAAAAAGTCCACGCCTATGGATAGGCCACGAAAAAATAGCCTCAAAAAATCCACGCCTATGGATAGGCTACGAAAAAATAGTTTAAAAAAATCTTCGCCTATGGATAGGCCACGAAAAAATAGTTTAAAAAAATCCACGCCTATGGATATGCTACGAAAAAAATAGTTAAAAAAAATCCACGCCTATGGATAGGACACGAAAAAATAGTTTATAAAAATCCACGCCTATGGATAGCCCAGGAAAAAATAATTTAAAACCAGTAAGGAATGCAGTAAAGTCGGATGGGGCCGACTATATGATACCCTTCACCACTTTGGGTATATTCAACAGATGAATCCTAACAGACGTCGGATTTTTAAAGGACCAGTAAAATGAAATTGGATCCATAAACATGTCATTCTGCAACCGATACTAAATTTGTCATTTGGTCAGATATAGAAGCTATACCGATTTCAGGAAACTTAACACACATTATTCTAGACCTAATTCATTACGCTGTGCCAAATTTCGTGGAAACCGAAAGATATTAAGGGACTTTGTTGGACCATTTACATTTAATAGGATGAAAATATATATGGGAGCTTTATCTAAATCTGAACCGATTTTCAGGAAATTTAACACACATCATCATTCTAGACCTAATTCATTACGCTGTGCCAAATTTTGTGCAAATCGAAACATATATAGGGGTTTTGGTGCACTATTTACATTTAATAGGACGAAACTATATATGGGAGCTATATCTGAATCGATTTTCAGGAAACTTAACACACATCATTCTAGTCCTAATTCATTACGCTGTGCCAAATTTCGTGCAAATCGAAAGATATATAAGGACTTTGGTGCACCACTTACATTAAATCGGACGAAAACATATATGGGAACTATATCCAAATCTGAACCGATTATTCCCAATTTCAATAGGGTTCGTCCTTGGGGCAAATAAGTGACCTATTCCAATTTTCATCCAAATCGGATCATAAATGCGACCTGTACTTTTTTCACAAAAATATATGGACGGACGGACGAACATGCGTAAATCGACTCAGAAAGTGATTCTATGCATATTCTCAAAAGGAACCATGTGTCTATCTCGTTTCCTTTTGCCTGTTACAAACATATGCACAAAGACATAATACCCTGTATCACAGTGTGGTGAAGGGTATAAAAATCCACGGCTATATGTAGCCCATGAAATAATAATTAAAAAAAATGTTTGGCAGTGAAACAGTACACGAGATATAAGTAAGCAGTTAAAAACAGTGATTCCAAAAAGATAATAGATAAAATTCACCCTTTAAAAGTGTAAAAAAATATGTCAATGTCAGTGTGTAATAAAACTTCAGAATTTCCTCTAACCATATCTGCAAAATTTATAAAAATCGGTTAAGTAGTTGCCGAGTTATTTGCATTTCAATTTAACGATGCTTCGAAATACCCCCTCCTACTCGATTCTGGTCGCCTATTACTTGAAAATGAGAAACCACACAAAAATCTGTCTTTTAAAAAAGGCAAAAATTGTTTTCATAATGTCTGTCTGTAGGGGCAAAGGGCAGTTCGATGTGCAATTTCTTGTTGCTTGATATGTAGGTGTGATTGTATGCACATATACAATGTAAAATATATTTACTTACACATACACACACTGTAGCTGTATGAAGAAAAAAATTCCATTTTTGCAAGATCGATTTTTGTGGTGTTTTTCATTTTTTGATAATAGGCGCCCAGCATCGAACAGAAAGTATATTTCGGCGCATGGTAGAATTGATATTCGAATGACTCCGGAAATACTTAACTGTTTTTTATGAATTTTGCAGCAATGGTTAGAGGGAATTCTGCAGTTTTATTACACAATGACGATATATATTTATTACACCTATAAAGATGATTTTTCGGCTATTATCTTTTTGGCAACACTGTTTTTAACAGTTTACACACATCTCGTGTTTTGTTTTTCTGTCCGACATCTTCAGTTTGGTCCATAATTTTTACGATGAATCGTCATACAAACGATCAACGCTTTCAATTCATTGAATTTCATAACTAAAAAGCGTGCTTTGCTAAGAATGTTCATAGCGCGTTTGTTCAATTTTATGGCTGTGAAATCGATCCATTGAAGCGGCTATTTTTTACTCCATTTCAAGTAGATATATACCGATTTCAATTCCCTTTACGACCATACAATTTGGCGAACGGAGCGCCATATATTGATTCCGTAACTGGAAATTTCATAAATGTAGAGTTTAATGTCCTGGTTTTTGTCTCATAACTTTGGAACTACTGGAGGTATTGTAATAAAATGGATGTCATATGAAAGGTAGGAAATCTGACTATTTCGTAATCTATTCAAAATATAATAAAATATGAAATGTTTTATTTGAAAAGTTATGTAGGAGGATACGTTTGT